GGGCCATGATTCCCAGTATTGTGTGATTGTCCACCATTTTGTCATCTGATGTGATTTTCCTATGTGTTGTAAATCCTACCTCTATGATGTTAATGAGGTGGGATAGGCAGTTATATTAATGAGGCAGGACTCAATCTACAAGATTGGATTGTGTCTTGAGCCAATCTCTTTTGAGATATAAAAGAGAGAAGCGAGCAGAGAGACAGGGGACCTCATACCACCAAGAAAGCAGCGCCGGGAGCAAAGCGTGTCCTTTGGACCCGAGGTTCCTGTGCGGAGAAGCTCCTAGTTCAGGGGGAGATCGATGACAAGGACTTTCCTCCAGAGCCTGCAGAGAAAATCTTCCCCTGGAGCTGATGCCCTGAATTTGAACTTCTAGCCTACTACACTGTGAGAGAATAAACTTCTCTTTGTTAAAGCCACCCACTTGTGGTATTTCTGTTATAGCAGCACTAGATGACTAAGACAATGAGATAGTTGGTTAGTGAGGAGAAAGTGTAGTATCTGTGTGTGTGTATACACACACACATATACAATGTAGAATTTTACCCAAGCCTTGTGATCCTGGAAAACAGTGATCGTTAAAGAAATCCCCCAGACTTTCATGTTCTAGAAAATGACTGACCAAGATACCCTTAACAGTCCCCTCAGCTTCACTAAACTGGGCAGGCTTCTTCCCGACTCTGAGCCTCTTATCTCTCTCCCTTACAGAATCCAGACTGAACGTTATTACAATGGCATGGGGGCAGTGACTCACCTCCTTTAACTTCTCCAGGGGGAAGGAGAATCCAGATCAACAGCCCAAGGCTGATTCCTATGAGGCGGAGATCAGACATGCCTCCTCTCTCTACCATCTTTACCAATTCTGACACCAGTCGTACCTCCCACAGCACTCTACTTCTCTGCTGGATTCTATAATTCATTGCAATGGCCACACAGAACTCACAGACAATACTCACGGTTATGAGATGTATTAGGGAAGTAAAAGGTTACAGTTCAGGTCCAGGATACAGTTCTTGCATCAGGACAGCCTCTTTTTAGCCGTGCTCACAGGTACGCCTCTTTGGCCTTCTGCCTCTGCCCTGCTTGGGCTAAGTGTTACAAACCTCTTTTGATAAGTTCCCAGAGGCACCCTAATCCACCAGTAAGCCTTGGCAGAAAGGCACTCAGCTTTCTCTCTCCCTGGGTGGGGAAGCCCACCACACCATCTCCTGCTGTTGTTTCTCTGCCACTGCCTCTTGAGAGCTCTTTTTCTGCCTCCTGGTTTCAGGAGCTTCTCAGTTCAGGGATCCCATGTCCAAAGCTCTCCGCTCCTGGCTGTTCTTCCTTGGTGGTGGTGGTATCCTTTCTTTCCCGCCTCTGGCGTGGTTCATTTCAAGCCCAGTGAATTATTTAATACATAGAAAATCCTAGTATCAGTGTCTGGCACCTAGTCAATAATCATGTAATAAAAAATAATCAGTATCAATATTATCAATAATTTCATTGGTATGTTTACCTTATTAGTTTTTTATTTTAATTTTATGACTTTTCCATATTGTATTATATATACATGTGTGTATGTGTGTGTGTGTATGTATATGTGAGTGTGTGTGTTAATTTAATAAAACATTGCACCAGACAATATTAAAACAGATAAGGATAACTTTATTCCAAAGGATTATTACAAAGGAGGGGAGAGGAAAGGACTAAAGGGGTAAGGACCTTTATAATAGGTGGGAAGAAGACTATTATAATGTGGAGAGAGACCAGAAAGAAGTAGAACTAAGTCTGTCCAAGCTCAACTCCACTGATGCAAAGGTCAGGAAGGTTTTGAAGGACTAAAATGAGTATGGAAAATACTGAAAGACTGTTGGGGAAGTTAGGCAATGGAGTGTGTCAATCACGTGGAGTTATCTCCTGAGTTAATTGTTAAGGCCAGATGAAACATGTTTGTGGTGTGATAGATGGGTTTGTGTGACCTTTCTCATCATATTCTTGTAACTTTCACCCAAGTGATTGGGTAAGACTGTGCAAATAGGGTAATTTTGTCCCACCAAGGGGGTTAGTCAGTTTTGTCATCCTAATCCTTACAATATCCCTTTGTTGTGTTGCCCCAAATATTCTGTTTTAGTCTTTAACTGGCATAAAAGTTATGCTATTCAAATAAACAAACCATATTAAAATATTGATATTACAGCATCAAGAACATTCAAGCAGCATATTTTAAGGGATGGAAAGAAAAACATTTCAACATATCATCAGTTTTCTTCGAAAACATTCCCTAACAAAATACAACCACAATTACTGGTTACAACAGTTCATAGTTTTGTTTTGTTTTGTTTTAATAGTTTCTTGAGATGCAAATAATTCACTGTTACTGGTTTTCAGATGACCAGCCAAGTGTTAATTTTTATTTAAAAAGGCAAGTGGTAAATCCATTTGACTGCAGAGGAAGTCTCTACCTTCCACAGGGCTATAATAGATCGAGGGCCAAAAGAGAGCTCCCTGAGAAACTCATTGATTTGTTGTTCACTGAAATGTCATTTCAGAGGAACAAATTTCATTTTAATGGCTGTTATTGCTGGGAATCCAAATTCTAATTTAACTCCAAGGCATTCTCGAATTATCCTGTGCATTCGATTCTGCCACAGCCACCCCCAATAATACCACCAACAATATCATTATTAAATCAATGAAATGTTTGCCTTTATGTTCCTAGGGTACTACTACTACCAGTTGCTGTCCAGTCAATTCTGACTCATAGCTTGTCCTTAGGGTAGTGATTCTTAAAATGTGGTCGGGGGACCTCAGGAGTTGCCTGAGGCCTTTTCAGTGGGTCTGCAAGGCTAAAATTATTTTCATATTAATTCTAAAGCTTGCCTCTTTCACTCTCTCATTTTCACATGAGAGTTATATTGCAACAGATTGAATGCAGAAACAAATTCAAGAATCTAGCTGTCTGCTATTAAGCCAGATATTAAAGAGTTTGGCAAAAACGTAAATCATTCTTCTATTTTTTTTGTGATTTTGAAAAATGTAGCCTCTGGAGAGAGTACGCTAGAAGGCTAGAAGTCCAAATTCAGGGCGTCAGCTCCAGGGGGATCCTTTCTGTCTCTGTTGGCTCTAGAGGAAGGTCCTTATAATTAATCTTCCTCTGGACTGGGAGCTTCTCTATCAAGGAACCAAAGGATGCACTCTCTGCTCCCAACACTGGTTTCTTGGCGGTATGAGGTCCCCAATTCTCTGCTTGCTTCTCTTTCCTTTTATCTCTTGTAAGATAAAAGGTGGTGCAGGCCACACCCCAGGGAAACATCCTTTACATTGGATCAGGGATGTGACCTTAGTAAGGGTGTTACAATCCCACCCTAGTCCTCTGTAACATGAAATTAAAATTGTAAAATGGAGGACAACCACACAGTACTGGGAATCATGGCCTAACCAAGTTGACATGTTTTGGGGGGAAGTAATTCAATCCATGACAGGGCTATGACAAAAAACCAAACCCGTTGCCATCAGATCGATTCTGACTCATGGCAACCTTAAAGGCCGGAGCATAACCTCCCCATAGGGTTTCCAAGGCTGTAATCTTTACGGAGAAGGAGCCCTGGTGATGCAGTGGTTAAAAGGGCTCGACTGTTAATCGAAAGGTTGGAACCCACTAGCAGCAGCTCTCTCTGAGGGAGAAAGATGTGGCAGGCTGCCTTCCTAAAGATTTGGAATCTTGGAAATCCTATTTCTACTCTGTCCTATAGGGTCGCTGTGAGTCGGAATCGGCTCAGACAGCAATGAGTTTTTGGTTTGGACGCCTATAATGAGAAATGACAAGAAGCACATTCCCAGTATTTATGTTACAAAACAAATCTAAACGGAAGATGACCTGGGGATAAGTTTCCCTTAAACCAGTGAATATCTGATATTCATGGAGCACTCGACTGAGGGCATGAAAACGTGGAAGTGTAACCTGTAAGGGAAGTAGACATTCAGTTATTATTTTCAATAGAGGCTGATAGATTTTTTAAGCGGCCCTTGACCTTTAACGAGTAGCTTACTCAACATTCATTTCAGAGTTAGGATGCTAGATGAAATAATTCCTGTTTCCACTGCTTACAAGATAAAATATTTGGCAGCAGATATTTGAAACACCGTAAAACCGAATTGTAACTTTTGCACTAATTAAGGAGCACTTAGATCGATTAAGGAGCCAGGGTGGCGCAGTGCTTAAAGTGCTCGGATGTTAACCGAAAGGTTAGTGGTTCTAACACACCAGCCGCTTCTCGGTAAAACGATATGGCAGTCGGCTACCATAAAAACGTACAGCTTTGAAAACCATATAGGGCAGTGGCAGTTCTACTGTTCTATAGGGTCGCTGAGTCAGAATCGACTCAACGGCAGTGGGTTTGGTTTTTGGATGGATTAAAACTGCATTTACCTACAAGAGCGGATAAAAGGAGTGCCAGTTCTTTTGGGAAAGTATGTGTGGCTCTGAAAAGAGCCGTTGGGGTGTGGGTGTGGACGAGTTACTAGGTCCACAAGCTAGCGGCTCACTTGGAACTGGTGTACTTGGTAACAGCCTTGGTGCCCTCGGACACTGCGTGCTTGGCCAGCTCCCCGGGCAGCAGCAGGCGCACAGCCGTCTGGATCTCCCTAGACGTGATGGTCGAGCGCTTGTTGTAATGCGCCAGGCGAGACGCCTCACCCGCGATGCGCTCAAAGATATCGTTGACAAACGAGTTCATGATGCCCATGGCCTTGGACGAGATGCCAGTGTCAGGATGAACCTGCTTCAGCACCTTGTACACGTACACGGAGTAGCTCTCCTTGCGGCTGCGCTTGCGTTTCTTGCCGTCCTTCTTCTGAGCCTTGGTTACTGCCTTCTTAGAGCCCTTCTTCGGGGCAGGAGCGGATTTGGACGGCTCTGGCATGATTAAAAGTCACTAAGACGAAACACGAGAAAATCAAGATTAATGAATGTGAGGCTGGACACGGTCCTTTTATCCACAGCCCTCATGCAGACGAGACGTTCTGTAAAATCATGTGTCTGATTGGTGGTGCATTCTGGGTGACGTAGCATATTAATTTTGCCCAATCAAAATAAGTGTACTTCAAAACCACGATTTCATTGGTTTAAATAAAATAGTAATTTTAGCCAATGGTATAGCTTCATTTTCGCGCCCAGAAATGGCTATAAGTACCGCAGTTCTAGGTTTTCCGACTCACAGTTTGCTCAGCCTAGTGGTTATTACAGTATCATGTCTGGACGCGGCAAGCAGGGCGGCAAGGCTCGCGCCAAGGCCAAGACTCGGTCTTCCCGCGCTGGGCTCCAGTTCCCCGTGGGCCGAGTGCACCGCCTGCTCCGCAAGGGCAACTATGCCGAGCGGGTCGGGGCCGGCGCGCCGGTGTACCTGGCGGCGGTGCTGGAGTACCTGACGGCCGAGATCCTGGAGCTGGCGGGCAACGCGGCCCGCGACAACAAAAAGACGCGCATCATCCCGCGCCACCTGCAGCTGGCCATCCGCAACGACGAGGAGCTCAACAAGCTACTGGGCAAAGTGACGATCGCGCAGGGTGGCGTCCTGCCCAACATTCAGGCGGTGCTGCTGCCCAAGAAGACCGAGAGCCACCACAAGGCAAAGGGGAAATAAAGTCTCAGTTATAACTAATAACTACGTCCAAGCCAAAGGCTCTTTTCAGGGCCACCTACTATTTCTTTGGAAGAATTGGGACACTAGTAATGGAACAAAAAGAAATGAATGAAATGCTCTGACCAATCGGACTAAAGCGGCTAAATAAGTTTTTCCTTCTTGTATAATCCCATACTTAAAAAGGTAGTGCACAGCGCACAGCTTTTTTCTCAGAGATATTGGGTGGCTCTGAAAAGAGCCTTTGGGGTTTAGATTTTTGAACAGGCTAACTAACCTACTTCTTCTTGGGAGCCGCCTTCTTAGCCTTTGCAGCTTTGGGCTTAGCTGCTTTAGGTTTCGCGGCCTTGGGTTTAGCTGCTTTAGGCTTCACTGCCTTCGGCTTGGCAGGACTCTTTGCGGTCTTCTTTGGCTTGGCGGTAGCTTTGGTCTTTTTAGGGCTCTTGGCCACTTTCTTAACACCTGCAGCCGCAGGCTTCTTTGCCTTCTTCGGAGTTTTCTTCGCGGACTTCTTGGCTCCTGCCGCCTTCTTGGGCTTCTTAAGAGTGGCCCCCGCGGGCTTCTTGGCCTTGGTGGCACCAGCCTTCTTGGCCTTGGGCTTTGCTTCCCCGGAGGCCGCCTTCTTGTTGAGCTTGAAGGAGCCCGAGGCGCCGGTGCCTTTGGTCTGCACCAGGGTGCCCTTGCTCACCAGGCTCTTCAGGCCCAGCTTGATGCGGCTGTTGTTCTTCTCCACATCGTAGCCACCAGCGGCTAGAGCTTTCTTAAGCGCGGCCAAGGAGAGGCCATTGCGCTCTTTGGAAGCGGCCACAGCCTTAGTGATCAGCTCGGAGACTGGGGGCCCGGTCGCCTTGCGCTTCGCGGCGCCACCAGCCGTTTTCTTAGCTGCCTTCTTCTTGGCGGGGGACTTCTCTACAGGTGCCGGCGCGGCACTCTCCGCCGGAGCCGTTTCCGACATGACGATAGGAGAAACTGTTGCAAGAGAGGTTTCAAATCCAAACGGAGCAAGTTTTGCAATGCTGACGCTTTCAGGCCCTCGGCTTATATAAGGCGGCGCTGCCCTGTGATTGGTGGAGTGTCCAATCCACCGCCCTCTGTCAGACGCCGCTCAGGGTTGGACTCCCAAATTGTGTTTGTTAGTCGCCAAAATTTGATTAAATGAGAAAAACGACCTTGCAGAATTTGGTGCCTTGAAGCTCTAAAGGAGGAAAAGAGCCTCAAGTTTCACAAACTTTTTTGTGTTTTCATGAACCATGCGCAGACGATGAAAGATATTTTAAAAAACCCCTTTAGCCTTGTATATGAATCCACCCGGTTGGGGTCATCGCGTTAGTTTGTTGTATGTTGCAGTAAATTTCTACTAAGTATCAAATGAAAGTTTTCTAAAAGGATTTGTTCCGAGGTTCAGCTTTTGATTTTTACAGGAGGAAAGACATTAGGTTTCTTGGGTTTGGTATAAACATTGTTTCTAAGTGATGTAAGTAACACAGTCACAGGGCAACACGTTTCCTACCGCCCCAAATTAACCACATGAACCCAAAAACCCATTGCCGTCGAGTCGATTCTGATTAACCACATAGACCCTGTTTAAAAACCTGTTCTGCCTTTTCGGAGTTTCCAAGTGCTGACGTCTTTAGAAAATAGGGACTTTGCAGCTTGGTAAAACTCAGTTGCCAGAGTGACTTCTTCCCCGTTGCAGCAAGAGTGGAGATTTCTTGCTTCAGATTCCAAAGCCCAGATTCAAATTCGAATTTACATTTGGTATGTTACCTGACTGAGGTGCTTTCTCTTTTTAGTTCTTGGGCAAATCCATTAAAATGAGGACAAAAAAAAAAAAATGCATACCTCAGATAATTCGCTTGAGAAAAATCTCTCAAACATGCTGAAAATTATTCGTGGACTCCCAGTAGCTCCCATAAAGCACACGTTTAGATCATCAGGATCTTGTCAGGCTTTCAAGATATTTTTCCCAGTGCTCTTACTAAACCTCTTATGTCCATCAACATTTAATCAGTCTCATTGTCATGAAAATCATCTTCTGCAAGCATCCAGGAGACATCAATGTGGATATTTGTGTGTGTTTAAGCTCTGACAGATCCGTAGTTTAGAAAAATAACAGGGTATTTTGAGAAGGGTAGATTGGGTATTGAGGGGCTGCAAGTTACAGAGGTTCAGAAGAATTCAGGAAAACATTAACATCCAAGAGAACTGAGGCAATGACTATGAGGTTGGAGAAGTTTGCTATTTATTTGAAGGAGGAAATGAAAATATCTCATGGCTGCTTGATAAAGGAAATCGAATGATAATTGAAATCTCTGATGCAATCAACATTCACCCCCTTTTTGCTAGTGAAAAACTGGGGGAGGGAGGTTAAAATGGCTAATGCACTTTATCTTCCCTTCAGGAGCTCTTGGAAGGATTGTCAAACTACCACCTGTGGGCCAAATCTGGACAGTGACTGTTTTTATATGGCTCTCAAGCTAAGAACAGTTATCTTTTTAAAGGATTGTAAAATAAAAGAAAGGAAGGAAGGAAGAGAGAAAGAATATATGACAGAGACCATATGTGACCTGCAAAGCTTATTCACTATCTGGTTCTCTTGCTGTGTTGTGAATGCCACCACATAGACCCAGATCATGGTATACTATTACTACAAGGCTCTTGAAACAATGCAAGTTGAGAATTAATGAAAAGGAGATCTTAACAAGAGAATTTTCTAACCAAGTATTTCTACTGTTCTAATCAAAACTTTCAGAGAGGTTCTATGTTTAAGGTAGGGAGAGGAGATAACAATAAAATCTATTGAGCATTTACTAAGTGCCAGGAACTATTCTAAGTATGTTCCACTAGAGGTTTTTGTTCATCTGCCACATTTCACAGCTGCAAATCTGAGGCCTAGATAGTGGATGAGTAACTTGCCCAGGGTTATAAAGTTAGTAACTGTCTGCTCTAGGATTTGAACCTAGATCATCCGGCCTCACACTATTATGCTGGGAAATTAATGGGGGGTGGGGGCTATTTTTTGAAGCTTGGAAGAGGCAGTAAATTAACCTCCCTACACCTAGCAGATAGGCACTAAAGGAGCTCTAGGTTAGAGAACCTGTAGGAAGAGGCTCCTGGCCTCATCTCTCTGGCTGTTTTTGTGAATCAATTCCCATAGTTTCTGAAATCTTTAGAGCCAGTGGCTAGGATTTCAGCCCCTTTGAAAGAGAAAATTGAGGAAAGGGTGGTAGAGGACCAGATCGCTGATCTGCCCAAAAACAGGAGAAAATTTGCCTTAATATAACTCTTTGCCGCCTTCTGGAATCAAGATACATACCCAAAAAAGTAAGTAGTGATAATAGCATCTGAGGGGCAGATCAGGAGATTCTTTTAAACAGGTAAAACATTGGACAAGGTTAATAAATGGAGTGTGTGTTAGAAAACCAGAGCTCTAAATTTGGAGCGGAGACCAGAAACTCCTTTCAATCGCCATTTTGAATTTTTAATTCCCAACCTGCTTCTCTATTTGGGAAAAAAAAAATCATGAAAACCCAACTGTCACAGAGCTATAACAAGGGCATTGTTTAAAGTCCTGGGCAAATATTTTTAATTTTAGAGGCAGAGGTAACTCATTTTACAGATGACTGATAACCTGTAGTAGCTGTAAGTATCCAGGCCTTTCAGGGGTTGCTCCTCTCTCCCCCCTCCCCCCAGATAGCCCAGTGTATGTTTTGTTAATCATAAGACAAAAAGAAACAGAAATGGTAATAGGTTTAGAAAAATTCTTAAGATCACTTGTTCTGTTCCAGAGGACGGCAAGCATGCCAAGTGATAAAACACCTTGGAACTTGAATACTTCCTCAAGGGGTAAGGTAGGCCTTCACCATGTGAACTTCTTAAGTTTGCAAAATGCAGAGCTATGCTGTAGGGTAAATGCTTAAATTCATATTGTCTTATGAGGCTACAGTACTTATTCCAGAAGTAACAACTCTTTCTTGGTGAGAATTGAGGGGCTCTGAAAAGAGCCTTTTGGAGAGATATTAATAACTGAATAATTTACGCTCTCTCCCCGCGGATACGACGGGCCAGCTGGATGTCCTTGGGCATGATGGTGACACGCTTGGCGTGGATGGCGCACAGATTAGTGTCCTCGAAGAGCCCCACCAGGTAGGCCTCGCACGCCTCCTGCAGCGCCATCACGGCCGAGCTTTGGAAGCGCAGGTCGGTCTTGAAGTCCTGCGCGATCTCCCGCACGAGCCGCTGGAACGGCAGCTTGCGGATGAGCAGCTCGGTCGACTTCTGGTAGCGCCGGATCTCGCGCAGCGCCACGGTGCCGGGCCGGTAGCGGTGCGGCTTCTTCACGCCGCCAGTGGCCGGCGCGCTCTTGCGGGCTGCCTTGGTGGCCAGCTGCTTGCGCGGCGCCTTACCGCCGGTGGACTTGCGAGCTGTCTGCTTAGTTCGAGCCATGAGGATGGAGACCTGACTGCTCTACAAAAGAAAGAATTTATCAGTTAGCCATCGCATTATTTATAGCGTCTCTCGCGTTCTGATTGGACCGTCTACTGTTGCTCCGTCCTCCTCCAGCCTACAAGCCCAATTGGCTCCCGGGTTAATCCTCTAATTACCACAAAATGTTTCCCGCCCCCACTTCATTCTAAAAAACAATAGCCAACCCAAACCCTTTGCCGTCGAGTCGATTCCGACTCAGTGACCCTATAGGACGGAGTAGAACCGCACCATGCGGTTTCCAATGAGCAGCTGGTGGATTCGAACTGCCGATCTTTGGTTTAGATTAGAGAGGCGAACTCTTATCTACTGTGCCACTACTTCGGCCTAGGAAATGTACAAAGAAAATACTGGTTAAGAAAAAAAAAAAGCTTCTTGGAGTTTGCATGCGTCTAAATTACAAGAGAGTGCTGTTTGAGTATCTCAATCCTTGGCACAGAGTTTATTGAATAACATTAAGCGGAACAACTGAGATTAAGGGAATTGACTTGCAAATGGAGGCTTTTAAGTGAGTCGAAATTCGAGTGTGCTGTTAGTACTTCTGAAATTTAAGAATCATGCTTAATCTCCCAGAGCTTTTTAAAACAACGATGCATATAGTCAGTATCCTTGGCTTTGCAAGCCATGCTGTGCCGCGAACCATTCTGATTTAGTGGCGCGAAAGCAGTCCTAGGACAAAGGAGCATGGAAACATGCGACGTGCAATTTGGCCGTCCGTATTAGTTCGCGAACCCAAGATTTTCGTGGATTAAAAGGTGATGGTCACGCTGTTGACGGGTATGCCAAAGGAAACTATATAAACTAGATAACTGCTTTAATATTTTATATCTATTTAAGCTACTCCCATATTTAATGTTTGGTGAAACCCCTCAAGCTACATTAAACATACGGTTAGCTATTATAAGAAACTAAGGCTTTTTAAAAAGTGCACTCAGCTCTTTAACAGATTTTGTGGGTGGCCCTTAAAAGGGCCTTTGGGGAATGGAGTGGTGAAGAGAACTCTAGCCTCCAAAGCCGTAGAGGGTGCGCCCCTGGCGCTTGAGCGCGTAGACCACGTCCATGGCCGTGACCGTCTTACGCTTGGCGTGCTCAGTGTAGGTGACGGCGTCGCGGATCACGTTCTCCAGAAAGACCTTGAGCACCCCGCGAGTCTCCTCGTAGATGAGACCGGAGATGCGCTTGACACCGCCACGCCGAGCTAGACGCCGAATGGCGGGCTTGGTGATACCCTGGATGTTGTCCCTTAGGACCTTGCGATGGCGCTTAGCGCCGCCTTTACCCAGACCCTTACCACCCTTCCCGCGACCAGACATGTCTATGGCCGGATGTGAGACTGCCTGCCAAGTGTCAGAGGTGGCATTTTATATAATGGTGAATCGGACCTGTTTGGGGACTCCGCAGGCCAGCTGTATCAGCTTAGTTCCTGGATCCGGAGCCCTGCCTACGTTTCCAGGAGAAAAAAAAAAGGCGGGGGGGGGGGGCGGTGCTTAAAGTCTTTCAAAAAGATGCCCAAGCAAAAATTACTATTGGGCGTATAGCGGTGCAGCGCTCTTCCTACAGTGCTTTGCGCCTGCCCACTAATGCAAGGCCCTTCCTTTGTTCAGGTCAGGCCATGCAGTCTGCTGTTCAGTCACCTCTTAGCACTTGATCGCTGGCTGCTGGAATCAAGTGACCCATTCTGAGGGGAAAGTTCGCACTCTTTTCAGCTATTCGTGAAACTGTCTCGTATGCTAAATGCTTTCCATATAATCTCGATTTAATCAGCCCCCTCAAAAGTACTTTCCATATAATCTTTAGTCAGCCTGAGAAGAGGCTGACTTCAATTAACGCTCCTTGATTATAGCTTTAGTCTGGGACTCCTCACCTTTAACAAAATTGTTTCTCTGCCCTTTTCCTTACTCATCGAGTCGCCTTCCCTTTTCTTCCTTTTTCCATTAGCAACCCCAGCCACATATTTGGAGAGGACTGGATTTTTTCCCTCCTTCATCCCGCTTAGAAACAGTTTAGGAAGTTCTTTGAAGAAAGGAGGCTTTCCCCTACCGTTTCCTTGGAGGGTCGATGAACATGTGGACGTGCTGCTCAGAGCTCTGGGGGATTCCATACAGCCCTCTCTTCCTCTCCTCTCAACCAGGAAATCAACTGCACCCAGAAACTCCATCCCTTGAGTTTACAATAAAGTTCAGAATGCAGAGAATATGGATGGCATTCTTCCAGGAAAAAGTTAAAAAAGACAATGTGGTGGATTGGTTTCCAAGATCTAGCTGTTCAGAATTACCTCCCTCGGGACCCACTTGCCTGCGTTCTTCAAGGTATCAGATTCTGGTTTTTCCCTGTGAAACTTTGACAGCCTTCTCTCCCACATTCCCTCTTCTCTTTTCCTGAGTATCAGCAATGTTTACCTTTAATGTTTCAAACATGTGTGATTGATTATTTACTCCTTGAAAAATTGTCTAATTTTATTCTAGGACTTAGTCTCTCCAAGTACATTTTAAATTCTTTTATGATTAATGCACATGCAAAAGATTACATGTCCCATGTTGTATCAGTTAATAATCCATTTCTCATTGAACTTCTAGGCTGGTCTCTTTTTCCTTCTGTTAAGTAATAATGGAATTCCAGTGCTTAACCTTGAAGATGTAAACCCTATTTCTGTGGGTGAAATAATCTCAGCAATTAAAAAAAGTTACTTCTTCCTCTTCAACTACAGAACTACAGAACTACAGAAAAAGCCTTATCAAATAGCAACTGCCCTTGAATATGTTATTTTAATGAAGAAGCACTGAGTGTTCATTTATCTGGTGGATATAATGTACTCTGACAGGTCTGTAATTTGGTTTGGTTGCCTTGACAATTTGCCCTGAGAATTATACTCACATAGTCATCTATGTTTTCCAAAGGTGTAAATACTTGTTAATTCTCTTTGTTAGATCAGATACTTTGTTAATTCTTTTCTCCCACCTGCACAGAGGAAACATAGTGGCTGACTCTGGATCCAGATTTCTTAAAGAGTTTGAGAATCTTGTTTCACTTAAATTAAGTACTCTTTTAATGTTTCTTTTTTGTGTTCCTCAGCAAAAAAGGTGCTAATTCCCGAGTTGCCCAATAAATCCTTGTTGATTACATGGAATAACTACTGTGAGGTTTTTTTTTTTCCTCCTTCTCACATTAGGAGAGATTGAAAACCCTATGGAGCACAGTTTGACTCTGACATAGCGTTGCCATGAGTAGGAGTCAACTCAATGGCAACTGGACTAATAGTTTGTAAATTAATGTCTGAACACACAGAAATCGATTTATTGCTAGGTGAGTTGAAAAGAAATGTGAGATTCTCCCCCTGCAAAACTAATAGCCAGAGGTGACCGTACCAGATCCATACCTGCAAAGCTGCCCTACCTGAGCAGCCAATAGATTGATTTCATCCTCTTCCTAAATCTCTAGCAGCACTAAACTTGTCTTTAGCCTCTCTGGATAGCGGCAAAAGAAAATCCTGCTGATTCCTGGGCAATGACTAAGACAAATTCCTGAGGGCCCAGACTGTCCCATGGTGAGGTGGAGAACTGTGGGATGGGGTCATCTCATGTAGTCTAGCTAGACTTTGTTGGATGACCCCTAACTCTTCTTGTTTTTTTTTCCCTGCTGCATTATTTATTGTGTAACAAATTACCCCAAAGCGTAGCAGCCTACAACAAGAAATTTATTATCTCATACAGTTTCTGAAGGTCAGGAGACAGTGGCTTAGCTGGGTGGTTCTGACAAAAAAGTGAAGAGTCAAGCTGTTAGCAGGGGTTGCAGTCATCTGAGGCTTGACTGAGTGGAGCTGGATGGCTCAGCCACATGGCTGTTGGTACTTCCCTACTGACTATTGGAGAAGGCCTGAGCTTCTCACCATGTGGGTTTCTGAGTGTCTTCCCATCGTGGCAGCAGGGGTCCCCCAGAGCAAGTGATCTGAGAGAGAAAGCAGGAAGCACAGTCTCGGAAGTAGCTCACCATCGTTTTCATTTTATGTTACATGCTTTATTGCACTGATTAGAAACCAGTCTCTAAATCCAGCCTATACTCAAGAGGAGGGGAATTAGGCTCCACTTTTTGCCTTTTGCCTTTTTTTGGAGGAGTTATCTGTTGTGTTCTAAGATTTTATCTTAGAAATTTAATAGAGGGATACTCAGGTTTGACATGCATAAATTCGTTTAGTTTATTGCAAGGTAGTCTTGGTAAGGCATGTAAATAAGATCTCACAACATTCATTTAGAACTGGAGAATTAGAATTAACAATTACAATAACAAAGTTAATTCAATGGTTAGGGTCCCTATCTTCAGACTTCAGGCTTTTGCCTTTAACAAGAGGTCTCAGGAGGAAGGCTTAACCACAGCTTGAACTGGCTCTAACTAGGTAGAAGTCTCTAGTAGCTAGGGTTCAGGGTCAGCGGTGGCAGACAGAATCTCAGTCCCATCTCTGCTTTCACTCTGTGAGTGAGCAGAAATTTAGGGTTTATATGTAAATTTGAGGAGCCCTGGTGGTGCAGTGGTTAAGCTCTCAGCTGCTAACCAAAAGATCAGTGGTTCAAACCTACCAGCTGCTCTGTGGGAGAAAGATGTGGCAGTTTGCTTCCTAAAGATTTACAGCGTTGGAAACCCTATGGAGTAGTTCTACTCTGTCCTAAAAGATTGGAATCGACTCCATGGCAATGGGTCTTGGTTTTAAGTGAATTTATCACCTTGGTGCCACATGAAAAGGGGCAGTGTAATGTCAAAGGTTAGAATGTTTTCTTTTCTCCAGGGTTAGAAACCAGCTGAAGGGCTCACTTTTTCTTCAAGAATTTAAATATTCTCCTTCTTTATTGTCCTATGAAGCCCCGGTGGGACAGTGGTTAAGAGCTCGCTAACCAAAAGGTTGACTGTTCAACCTTTTATCTATTTATCTATTTAAATATTCTCCTTCTTTATTGTCCTAGGGAGCCCTGGTAGCACAGTGGTTAAGAGCTGCTAACCAAAAGACTGACAGTTCGAATCCACCAGCAGTCCCTTGGAAACCCTGTGGGGGCATTTCTACTCTGTCCTATAGAGTCACTATGAGTCAAAATTGACTCAATTGCAACAGGTTATTGTCCTATAGCCATCGGAAGCTTATCTAGATCTCCAGCTTCCCACTTTACTCTCAGCCAGAGGTTGTGGAAAGAATTCTGAATGGATATCCACCAGCTCAGTACTGACCCTCAATACTTAAAGTACCGTTGGAAAAGACGAATTTTCCAGAGCTAGTAAGGGAGTTAACTTTTACCCTGTCTAAACCCTAGGGACCATTGTCAGGGTCACATACAAAATACACACGTGAAAATATTTTGTAAACTATAAAGCTTTCTATAATAGTTGTTGCCATTATTATATCTACTCACGATGGGAATAAAAATAGTGGTGGCTACAAGTGTCTGGGATGAAATGTGTGGTATACGACTTGGGAGCACTCAGCAAAAACCTGAGATTGAGTGGGAAAGTAGATTAAAGAGTGCTGGAATTTAAAAATAGGACAATCTGGGGAATTATTGTGTGGGAGATAAAAGACCATTTTATCTCTTTTAACTAAAACCATTCTTATTTATGAAGCATATTTATTTAAGTTACAAAAATTGAGCTGAGTCCTTTCTGAGCTTTCTTTGTAAAAAATTGATCTATCCTTTCTGAACTTCTCTGAGGAACAAAGGAAATAATAAATGCAAGTGCTTTCTGAGTTTTAAAGCAAAGATTGCATACAAATTAGCGAATTCATTCATTGAACAAGTATTTATGGAACACCTGTCCTGTGTGGAGCTCTTTCCGTTCCAGGGATACAATAGTGAGTGGAATAAGAAAACTTTGGCCTTGACATGTATAGTCTATAGGTAGAAAAAGTGAGTAAAATTTGTTTGATTTTTAAACATGTCTCCCATGACGTTTACATTCTAAAGGGGGAGGAGGGGTTATTGTTGTTAAGTGGAGTCCAGTCGGTTCATTGCGACGCTATGTACAACAGAACAAAACACTGCCTACTCCTGCGCCAGCCTCACAATAGTTGTCATGCTTGAGCCCATTGTTGCAGACACCTAAATGGGGGAAAGCCAAAAAACCCGTTGCAGTCGAGTCAATTCCAACTCACAGCAGCCGTGTAGGACAGAAAACTGCTCCATAGGGTTTCCAGGAGCTACTGAGGGATTTGAACTGCCAACTTTTTGTTTAGCAGCCTAGCTTTTACCACTGCGGGGAAGGAGATGCAAATACCTGTGCTGTAAATCCCTTGTAGTCGGCTTGATAGTTTTTTCAAAGCGGCCTAAGAAACTATCTGGGAAGTGGTTTTGTTCATCTGCGCTGACAGTCGCTGTAAGAAAATGTTTCCTAAAATAGCTAATGTGAAACTGACATTTATGGCTTTTTTGCAGGTAAATAAAATTAAAAGTTGTAAGCATCTTGTTGCTAACACTCCTCCCCTTTTGAAAAATTCCACCCAAAAAAAAAACATTGTGTTTGCAGCTACTTTCATTGGGAACGTAAGTGGCTCTGAAAAGAGCCTTTGGGAAGGGAAAAGCAAATTAGCAAGCCCAGGTGGCGGACAGCTTAGGCCCGCTCCCCACGAATGCGGCGAGCGAGCTGAATGTCCTTGGGCATGATGGTGACGCGCTTGGCGTGGATGGCGCACAGGTTGGTGTCCTCAAAGAGCCCCACCAGGTAGGCCTCGCACGCCTCCTGCAGCGCCATCACGGCCGAGCTTTGGAAGCGCAGGTCGGTCTTGAAGTCCTGCGCGATCTCCCGCACGAGCCGCTGGAACGGCAGCTTGCGGATGAGCAGCTCGGTCGACTTCTGGTAGCGCCGGATCTCGCGCAGCGCCACGGTGCCGGGCCGGTAGCGGTGCGGCTTCTTCACGCCGCCAGTGGCCGGCGCGCTCTTGCGGGCCGCCTTGGTGGCCAGCTGCTTGCGCGGCGCCTTGCCGCCGGTGGACTTGCGAGCCGTTTGCTTAGTACGAGCCATCCCTATACAAGTGGTGCACTAAAAAGAAGCGACTGAAGAACTGGTGCTGGGACCAGAATTTATACTAATGCTCTGATCCTGATTGGTCAGAACTATTGCAGCAGTAACCTAATTGGTTCTTACTTACTTACAATTGATTCTTACAAATAAATGGTTCCTTCCACCCCATCTGAACGGTTTTGTTTTCCATGGTATTCATTTTTATTTTCTATTTTTTACAGGAAAAAATTATTGCTGTACCCCATCCTATCTGAGTTTACTGTCTTCGACCAATCAGCTTATTACGATTCCACCAGTGAAAAGGGAACCTGACCAGGAATTTGTGGAAGTCAGCACCTAAACGATTCTTAAAGAAACGCATTTTCACTAGAGCCTTTTTTCCTTTTCAAATAATGTGAAAATTCCAGCAGAAAACTTTATTATTTAGTTTCTGAAAAAAAAGTTTTGTTTCATCACAGTATTATTAAGCTCTGCTTTTGATGACAGTACCAAAACTCAAAACAAAGATAGTTTAAAAATAGACTAAGGAACATTCAACCCTGGAAAAGCGTGGTGTTGGTTAAGAAGGCTTGATAGGTGCTCGACTAAATGATATCAGTGAGTAGCTATCTTTTCATTAACTGATTTTGATGCAATTAAAGGGCAAATTGGACTATTCATACGAAAATTTGTGTTCTTAATCAGTATGTGCGCGGTAATAGATGTACATTGATCAGTGATTCGAACTTTTCCAGTAAATCTGGGCAGCACTTAAAAAAGTGTTTGGATTAAGGGTGAGGTTTTAGGTATCAATGAACTATCAGGCTCTACTACTGGTAAAAGCCCTGAGAGAAGAAATGACCTAAGTATTTTAACATTCTCCCAGGAGGAAACCGTCACAACTTTGCTTTTTAGCAACTGAGAACGAAATGTTCCTGAAGAAAGGGTAATAAAGACGAGCTGTTTATTTTTAAATTGAGCAAGCTACTGAATTTTATGTGCTTGGTTTCAGCCAGGTATTTGTCATAGGCTTACAGAAAACAAAGTGCTCAGTTCCTCCGAAGAATTGGTGGATGGCTCTGAAAAGAGCCTTTGGTTTAGTCAGATTTCAGACCTTATTTACCCTTGGCCTTGTGATGGCTCTCGGTCTTCTTGGGTAACAGCACCGCCTGGATGTTGGGCAGGACGCCACCCTGCGCGATGGTCACTTTGCCCAGCAGTTTGTTGAGTTCCTCATCGTTGCGGATGGCCAGCTGCAGATGGCGCGGGATGATGCGCGTCTTTTTGTTATCGCGGGCCGCGTTGCCCGCCAGCTCCAGGATCTCGGCCGTCAGGTACTCCAGCACGGCTGCCAGGTACACTGGCGCGCCGGCCCCGACCCGCTCGGAGTAGTTCCCCTTGCGGAGCAGGCGGTGCACACGGCCCACGGGGAACTGGAGTCCAGCCCTAGAGGAGCGCGTCTTAGCCTTGGCGCGAGCTTTACCGCCCTGCTTTCCCCGTCCAGACATGACAAAATAGGCTTGACCTCCACCAAAAATGAGTACAGGTAATAATACACAGAAACTCACCTTTTATAGCTATTGCTAGGCGCGAAAATAAAGCTGTGCCATTGGCTAAAGGGCAGATCCATTTTAACCAATGCAAATACAATTTTTTAAAATATGTGTTCTGATTGGACAATATTGTCATTTATGTCATTCCGAGAAGAACTGCCAATCAGACACAAAATTTTACTCACTATCATTTGCATGTGACGCTATAAATCAAAAGAACACGCCCTCTTGTCCTGTTTCTTGAGCACTTTCTTTTCCTCTGGACCATGCCTGAACCAGTTAAGTCCGTCCCGGCCCCTAAGAAGGGCTCCAAGAAGGCGGTGACCAAGGCGCAAAAGAAAGATGGTAAGAAGCGGAAGCGTAGCCGCAAGGAAAGCTACTCCATCTACGTATACAAAGTGCTGAAACAGGTCCACCCCGACACCGGCATCTCGTCCAAGGCCATGGGCATCATGAACTCGTTCGTCAACGACATCTTCGAGCGCATTGCTGGTGAGGCGTCACGCCTGGCGCATTACAACAAGCGCTCGACGATCACGTCCAGGGAGATCCAGACGGCCGTGCGCCTGCTTCTGCCCGGGGAGCTGGCCAAGCACGCAGTGTCCGAGGGCACCAAGGCCGTCACCAAGTACACTAGCGCCAAGTGAGCCGCCCGCCGAAATCCATACCCCAAAGGCTCTTTTCAGAGCCACCCATGTTTCCAGAAAACAGCTGTTGTATTTTGTCTGTAGTCTTGTTTCTTGGTGGGGAGGGGACTGGTTAAGAGAGGAAGATAGCAGGAAAGGGGGAAAGGTAGAAAGATATCCGCACGCATTCTTGCGTGTGTACCATACGAATTTAGTAGTTTTTTTGGCGCTCTTTGAAAACTAAGGCTTTCAAAAATTCCGTTTAGATTACTAATTAACCAATGCAAGTAACGCCCCTATATTACTGTGTTCGGGTACTATTTGAAAAGCCCTCCATCGGCTTCAATTGGCTGGTATGTCATTCTGGTTGTGGGTTTCGAAGAGGTTTATTTTAGAATTTTACTTTTATCTGTGGCAATGTCCCGGGCTCTGGAGCCAAGAGTTAGAAGCTGTAAATTAACAGTTTCGTTTTCTACAGTCAGATCCTGGGCGAATTAGTTAACTTACCAATATCTATTCCCCCCACTGCCCACCTCCAAAAGAAAACAAAAACAAACCAAAAACCATTGAGGTCGAGTCAATTCTGACTCACAGCGAGCTTCTAGGACAGAGTAGAACTGCCCCATAAGGTTGCCAAGCAGCGGCTGGTTAGCAGCCGTAGCTCTTAACCACTGCGCCACCAGGGCTCAATCTAGAAAACAGGGACTGTGTGGAGTTGTTGGCGACCCCATGTGTGTAGAGTAGACCTGCTGCATAGGGTTATGAGTGCTGTGACCTTTTGGTAGGAGAAGTTTCTTGAGGATGAAATGTTAAGCAGAGAAGCCAGCAACTTCGGAAAGCGGCGTCTTATAATGTTTTCAGCAGGCAGCCAGGCCAAGATTTACACAGGCAGGGGAGCTGCTTTCGAGCTGGAATTTGAGTCCGTGATTAGATATTCTTGAACAAAAGTGGGAGAACCCAGTGTTTAAGAAGAAGCGGAGCCCAGAAAAGGCCACAGAATAGGAGGCGGGCCAAAATATCTGCTAGCTAGGAGTACTAGGGAGTGGAAACTTTCAAGGCGTGATGAATAGTTTCTATGTAAATTTAAAAAGTCCTTCAAAACCTTGCCACCACCACCACCGATCTCTCAGTAGTGTCTAAATTCTCCTTTCTTGCATTTCGTAGCATTAACATCTTCTGTCACCTCGTCATCCCCTTTCCTCGAGTAAATGATTGACATCGTAAATCTGTTTTTTTTTCAAACAGCAAAATACCAAACTTCACCCTCATCCCCATTCTGAGCTTCAATCCCCGCCCCACCCCTCCCCCGCCACGTCCTTTTCCGTCTTTTCCTAGTGTCTCTTCCCTTGAAGTTGGGGGTAGGGGCTCTCTTACTCGGACGAACTGTCTTGTCCCTGTCACAAGCAACAAACTCCCCCGAAGTCATGTCAACAGGTCAGCAAGTCATACAAAATATGCAAGTTTGACGTTCACTGCCCTAAAATTAAGTTCTACGGGCGCTGCGACCCTGTCTCTGAGGCTCGGCACCCTGGGGGCTGGGGACAGAGCCCACGGAGAAACCACACTACTTGGTTGAGAGAGGTCTCCTAATTCTTTGTGTTCCAGACCTCATCAGCATCTCATTCATTCCTTCCTTTTATTCCCTGTTCTCTTTCCAAGATGGATTTTTCTTCCCATCCGTCTGGGATCATCTAAGTGATCCCGATCGAAGTGGCTGGGTTACGGTCTATTGCCCTCTTCTGCCATATTGTGGGAAAAAACAGAAGCACAAATCCAAATCATTGTGCTTTCCAGACCCATTTTAAATACTTCCTTTCTAATCTCAACGTTCTACGGCAGTCTGTAGGGCAGTGTCGCCATTTCTGTCTTTTTTTAACCGCTGAATTTTAGTTTCTCCAAGATTCGCTCGTTGGCACGCGTGCGGATCCGTGTTGTAAAAGAGAAGACAGAAAGAAGGAGAGAGCATTAGAGAGAGAGAGAGAGCATTAGTAGTGCTGTATTAAGAGTTTTGTGGCCTGATAAGAGCTGTCCCCTCTCCCTTCCAAAAAAAAAAAAAAAAAAAAACCAAGATACTTTGCATCCTATAAGAAAAGAAAAAATAACAGGGTCCTGCTCTGTAGTTCTGGTCCTCAAGATAATACACACTTGAATGTTTCCTGTAAACCTGAACAGCTAGGCTGCTGTTTGGAAATCTGTCATGACTTTTATGAATATGATAATTATGTAAGTTGCAGTTTTTCTACCCTAAACAGGTCTATGTAAACTTGGTAACCTTGGTCATTTTGCAAGTTTTTTTTTTTTTTTTTAAATATTTGTGATTTTTTCCAAAGTCTGAGTCTTTTGCCCTCTTTGGAAATAGAATTTTTCTTTCCTTTCCAATGTTTCTGTCTCTTAGCCCTCTTTTGACAGTTCCTGCTTCCCAAGCAAGGTAAATGTCCTACTAAAGCACTTAAGGCCATTTTTCCATCCTTTGATCCCAACCTGCTATTTCTAATTCTCTTTCATAAAATGTCTACATTTTGCTTTAACTGTGACTGAAGGAGCAGTTGTGATATTCCCTAAACAGAGGTTAAAAGTCAAATGCCCACAAGGGCCCAGCAGAGAAGAGCAAAACTAACTGGATATTAGAAAACTTGCTTCATGTCTACAAAGAAACATGTTCTTGGCTTTTTTTCTTCAAATACACAGTCTTCTGACACTATGTTACATTTTACCAGTTTTGATAGAGACATGGACCAAGACATATTTCACTGTTATCATAATTGTGCTATAAAAAAAGCCACAGCACAAGCACATTGATAAATGCCAACTGACTCGGAAACTAAGGGGACCAGTGGGGACTGTAGAATACTGAAGAACACATACCCTGTATGGTGCAGTTTCACCCAATTGCTGCTTTCTGGAGGTGCAGACCAAAGACAGGGAGTCTTCTGATTTGTTGAGTATATACATTTTAATAGGAAAAATATTCTAATTTTTTGATATTGGCAAATCATCATGCAGACTAAACTACAACAAAAAAATGTCTGCAAATCATCAAGTCTTGATCTCACAGGTGGAGACCTCTGGCCATAAACAGAGATTTCTGTGCCTATGCCAAGCTGTCCACTCTACTCTCCTGTCAAGGCCCAGGTCAAGTTCCCAGGCCTTCTCGGTTTCCTAAATTCTAGCTGAAAAGAATCTATCCCTCACCTGGCCCTTCTGGACAGAGCACAGGGCCTTGCACACAGTGGACATTTTCTACAAGTTGAGTAAATAGGTAAAGAAGTGGAGAAGTAAAAGAAAACATTAAAAATTCCTTAAACTCACAACCAGTAATGAGGTAAAAGTTGTGAAAGGTTTTTGGATTTGTTTGTTATGGATGGGATAGTTAACTGGATAAATAAATCTTTTTTTATATTTGTCTTATTGTGATACATTCTCATCTACCAACTTTTCTACTGTCCCTAAGAGTTTCTCCCTTTTCTTTAGTGATTGTTCCCATGCCTCCTATCTTCTTACTGTGTGTAAAAGGAAACAGAAAGGTAAATAGACCACAAGAATCTTAAACTGAATCTCACCCTCTTCTCTTCCTGGCATTGATCATTTCTGCAAATTGGCTCACCCTTGTTTCCTGAATAGGTCCCTACCCCCCAAAACAAACAACAAAAACAACCTCACGTGTGCAGAGTAAAACTGCTCTATAGGGTTTTCAAGGTTGTGACCTTCAGAAGCAGATCGCGAGGCCTGTCTTCCCAGGTACCTCTGGGTTGGTTTGAACCACCAACATTTTGACTAGTAGTTGAGCCATTTGCACTATCCCGGGACTCATACTGCCTATTTAAATAAGACAGATTCTCAGACTGTTTAAATCAGCTATTTATGCAGCAAATCACTACTTTCATTTTATTTTTTTACTTTACCTCCATGCATATGGGAGAAGTAGGAAGAACCAACTGTCTTCTGATTTAACAAAGAAATATCACAAGGATTAAGAGATCAAGGGGGGGAGGAGGAGATGTCAATTTACATCTTATTACTAGGGCAGTAACACTTTTTTTTTTTTTAAATAAGACAACCAGTTAGAATTACAAACTGATAAAAGTTAAAGGTTACTTCCACAGATCACAGTAACAATGTCTGAGGTCTGGATGTCTTTGAAAATCTCTCATTAGAAATATCAGTGGCAGGTCCATTTTATAATGCCTGACAGGCCCTTTTCCTCTGCAGCTACAAGGAAGGGGATTTCTCTCCCTAGAGCTTAGAAGAGCCTATTTTCAAGACTGGGTGCTGTAATTCCACTACTTATTATCTACAGATAAACACAGGCCCAAGAAACTGACAATCTTGCATGTAGAATCAAAAAGGAAAAACAAGATTATTAACAAAAGTGATATGGATAGCCAGAATAAATTACCAAAGACTTGGAAGTGGACAAAAGAGATTCCAAAGTGTGAGTGCTGTATAATGGAACCTCCAGGATTATTTCATTCTATGGAGACATGTGTGTTTGATTTATTAGATTATTTTACAACTCTGTAGAGATAGAATTTAAGTTATATTGATAAAATGCACGTGATTCTTGGTGTTAAGTGTGGAAAGGAAGGTGGAGAGCAAAGATCATCTTTTTTTCCTCTAAAACTCACCAAATGGACACTCAGCTCTCTGCCATAGGAATATTGCTCTACAAAGAATTTCTGGACCTTTCTAGGGATATCTAAGTTTGGAAAACTCTCTAATTGTCATTCAAATCTAAGAAGTGGGTAACTTTGAGGAATCATTCCAAATTTGAGCCCTTAGAAGGCTTGAGTTCTATCAACCCCAACCCCACCGCTACCCCAGCTGCTGCTGTCTCCACTGTCCGTATAATTTATTGAATTGTCTGATCTTGCTGGCCTCCTTTTACTCAACTAAAAGTAATCTTCAAAGTCTCTTCCAGCAAAAAAAATCTGTTTCTAAAAATAAGTCTCTTTCATGTGGATCACACAAAGCAATTAGTAACAATTGTAACTTATGACAAGATTTGTTTCAATCTTGGAAAAAGTGATAATATACAAAGAGAGTGTGC